GGAATCTTCTCCCCCAGAGCCTGCCAGATCCCTGAATTACCCCAAGAACAGGATTTTTTTTTCCTCCCAAAAGCCACATCAGTCGGATGCAGCCAAAGCTGCTGGTTTCATGACTTTTTGGAGGTTTTTGGTGATACAACAAATGTCCCAGAGGACACGCTGGGGAGGTGGCTCCTCTTGCCTGACACGGGTGCACTCAGCAGGTCAGGTCCCAGCTGCTCCCCCCCGATTTATTCCAGGGGAGGCAGAAAAGCCTTTGGCTCCCTGGAGGTGAGCAAGGGCTGGGCGAAGCCTCTCAGCGTCCCGCCTTCCCCATTGGAGCAAAGCCCGGCGTCCCTAGAAGGTGGGACCCACACCACATCTAAGGCTGACGACCTCTACCAAGGTCAATCAATTTTTAGGGCCAGATATTTCTAAACTGGCTTCCCGGAGGACAGCGGGGACGCAGCTGTGCCGGTAAGACATCCCCAGCAATCTCGTGCAGGGACTTTTGGGCTCCAGCCTGATCTGGAGCATCTGCAAGAGACGTTGCTCTCTGATGGGGACAAGAGGATCTGGATAAGCTAATTCTGCACTGTTTGCATGCCCCCAGCTGTGAAAAGCTTAGAAAGCTTATTAAACCATTAAATCACTGAAATCCTTAAAAGAAAGAACCCCCAATGAACCCTGACTTCCTCCCCCATGCCAGGGGACCGGACACACACCGTGAACACGCGCCCAGCTAACACGATGCCCCACACACACTGCTCGCACCCCCAGACCTCACCTCCCCGGGCACACCAGTGACCGTCAGCAGTCAGCCCAGGACACATGGGCAAACGCTTCCCGAAACGATCCTGTTTGCCAGTTTTCAGGAAAATCGAGCAAATCTCAGCTCCAAAGCCAGGCTGGGGATTCTAGCAGTACTTCCCCCCACCGTGGTCTCACCAATCCTCTCTCCAAGAGCAGAGAAAATATCTGAGCAACCTCAGACAGGGGCAGGAATTCTGACAAATTTGCTGCCGAGGGCTCCGCTCTGCCACGTGCGAGTACCGGTGGTCTCACGCTCGCGCCCGTGTCGCCGCTAGCACACCCGCTCGCGGGAGGGGGACCCCCGGGGCAGTGCCTTACCTCGGGCCGTGCAGGAGGGAGGGGATGCCTGGCCGCCGGAGAGCCGCGCACTGCCGGGGGCCGGCAGCGCAGTGGGAGTATTAAATCGCGGTCTGCCTGCAAGTGGTCGGTAAAAATAGCACAAATCCCCTCTGGTGCGAACACACTTGCTGCAAGCCCCGGTGCCCCGTGACGTGCTGCACACACCTGCGGCACCGTCACGAGCACAGGGCGACACTCGCGCGTTGCCCGCGCGCGCTAGTGCACCCGTGTTTTACGGCACTCGCGACCCCCACGCGATTTTTGGTGAATTCCTGTGCTGTTTGCGCGTGAATCACCCCAGCCTCGCCGGCGCTCGCTGCCTGACGCCTTACTCACACGCGTGTTGCGTGCGAGCGCACAGACGCGCTGGGTCAGGCTGGCCGTGGTGCAGCGGCAGTGCCGGGGCAGACGGGGCGTATTCTTCGTGGCACATCTGCCTTGCTAGCCCTTCCTGCCCGCCGAGATAAAGCAGCGTCAGAGATGCTGGAAACACCCTGAGTCTGCAAGGAGGCAGAAACCACGAGCTGAAACACTGCAGTGCTTTTTCTTTGCAGAAAATCTCCTGAATATTTTTTTTTTCTTCTTTTATTTCTTTTCTTTTTTTCT